CTTTTTTCAAGGTGTTTAAAGGTGTTGTTAGTACTACTACTACTACAACAACCTTCACATCGTTTTCTCGGTTTTTCGACACAACGACGAAAAGTAAACAGTAGGAGATACCTGAACAGGGGGGGGACAACAAATTCAAAGTTTGAATTTCGAAACAACGACCAGAAGTCTGAATTCCAGCATCTTTCGATTCAAAGGAATTAGAAGTGGGCGTCAAATCAAACCGGCGAAATATAGCTCAAAATTGGGTTCGAAATGAGACCTGCTTAGTCTACAGTAATCCGACTAGCTAGGCTTCAAAAAATGCTACTCAGTCAGTTGTGGCATTAAAGTAGATATTTCGAGGAGCTCTATAGTCTACAGTAACCAGGACTAGCCGAAATTGGCTTTTCTAGATTTGAAAATCACAAAATTCTTGAGATCTCTTGTTGTCACATCCAAATAAGGATAGGGACCAATTCTTATAAGGTCCTAAATCCAAATTTTGGAATCACAGGATCTTCAGAATCTGTCAGGACGCGAACGTCGACCAAAAAGCTCCAAAGCTCAGACATGTGCCAAAAATCCAAGTTCTAGTCCAGCAATTCTGAAGCTTTCTAAGCTCTAAGCTAGAAGCCTAAGCTCTAAGCTTTAAGCTAGCTAGAATTCCAGGCTAGAGAGAAAAAAGCGATTTTCAAGTCTCGAACGATGGCTAGAATCCTTCTGAATCCTCTAAAGAAGACGTCAAAGGATACAAAACCAAGAAACGACGAAAAAGGGAAAAAAAAAACCAAGACGAGGTATTAGGAGCGGGGACAGAGAACTGTCCTCCTCCTGTCGTTTTGGGGGAAAAGGATGAGACCAAAACCAGTTTGTCCCTGTTTGTCGTTTCTTTTCCCCCTCTCTCTCTCACTTTTCACAGAGAAACAGAGGAGTTTTTAATTACTAGTCAAAGTCGACTTATCGTCTTCTTCTCCTTTTGAATTCTGTGTCTTCAAACTCTGAAGACATTCTATTCTGAATTCAAAAATTCTGAAGACGTCAATTTTAGGATTTAGAACCCCTTTTACGACGCCAAATCTGTCGATTTATGAAACTTTAATAATCGTTCAAGCGATTTCGGCCGATTTTGGGAAATCCCAAAATTTCAGATTCCAGTTTTCTGAATTCAGAATCAATGGGAACTAGTCGAAAATCCTCTAAAAATTTGTCCAAATTCGAGCTGAATCTAGAATTATTTCAATTTCAGACCAATTTGGACCATTCCTAGGCTGAAAATGGTCTAAAATTGATCAGAAATGTACCGAAATTAGTCTAAAATAGACCAAATCCCATATAGAGGTTCAAATTTGACGAAAAATGAGCGCTAAGATAGTCTAGATTCGTCCAACGTGAAATTCAAATTCGAGTTGAACCTAGATTTTCAATTGTAGACCAATTTAGACCATTCCTAGGCTGGGAATGGTCAAAACTAGATCCAAAATCACATATCGAGGCTCAAAATTGAGGAAAACTGTCGAAAAATGGTCCAAAAAGCCATCTTGTGCTCCAAATTCGGTCCTGTTCCGTTCCCCAACTTTTTTGGCACCATGCCAGGGGCCAAAAAAACTGCCTAGGACCGGACTGAACCGTCGTGTGTTTTACCACAAAAAAGGACGGCAAAAAACACGAGACGAGGGGGGGGGGGGGGGGAAGAGACACTTGTGAGTGTGGTGGTGATGGTGGCAGTGGCAAACCAAACAATAGAGAAAAAGTGTTTGTAATAGTTGAAAAAACAACACATTTCAAACATCAAAATCGATCGTTTACAGTCGAAAATCATGGATTTTTGGCACCAAATTGATCAATTTCGAGCCAAAAAACGTCCAAAATCCGACGTTTTAGGTTCTGACGCCTTCTATGCACTTCTAGGGTACTCCAGAAGATGTCTATAGGGGAACGGAAGTCACTGAATACAAAGAAGATCAGGTGACAAAACCCCCCCTCTTGCCACTTGGAAAATGGAGAATCTCAAGAGGAAGAGAAACTCAACGTCATCTGAATTTTTAGATCAAAACCTGAGGTTCTGGGACCCAAAAATGGACCATTTGAATCCGAACTTTTGCGACCTCAAATTGGATAATTTAGAACCAAAATTGAATGTTTTTGGACCCAACATTGAACTATTGAAGTCCAAATTTTTGGGGTTTCGGGGCCCAAAATTGGACCATTTGAATCCGAATTTTGAGGTTTTTGGACCCAAAATAGAACTATTGAAGTCCACATTTTCGGGGTTTTGGGACCTCAAATTGGATCATTTAGGACCAAAATTGGAGGTTTTGTGACCCGAAAATTGGATATTAAAGTCCAAATTCTAGACATTTAATACCCCCAAAAATGGACCTTTTGAATCCGAACTTCAGAGGTTTGGGACACCAAATTGGACAATTTGAATCCCAATTTCGAGATTTTAGGACCAAAAATAGAACTATTGAAGTCCAAATTTCGTGGGGTTCGGGACCCAAAATTGGATCATTTAAGGTCATAGTTGAGCCATTTACCCCCCAGATTTGGGTGTCGGATCAATTTCTCTGGTTCTTCAATCCAAAATTTAGGCCTTTTTGGTTCGAAATTTGGAACCAAAGCTATTAGAGCCACCCGGCAAATCGATTAGTCAAATTTCGACCGTTTTGGACCAATTTTCAATTGGCTCCATCTAGATAGAAAAAGGGCTATTCTAGACCAATTCTGGAGACTAAAAATCGCCTAAAAGACGCCAAAAACGTAGAAAAAAAAAGAAACAATTGCCTATCCATAATTGTTCTGTGTTTCTCGTCTATTTTACAACCTCCAAAACAAATGATGAGCACCAATTATACCACCATAGACAACACCAACTACTCTTGAGTGTCTCTGCGTCTCTTTTTAAAGGTTCTAGCCTCAAAAATGGAACATTTGAGTCCGAAAATTGAGGTTCTAGAACCAAATATAGAGCATTTAGGTGGAATTTTAAGATTTTAGAACCCAAAATTGGACCATTGAAAGCTAACTTCTCGGGCGTCTCTGCTCAATGTCTCGTTCTTTCTAGAGGAACGTATTCAGAAGACACTAACGACTTCAGAGAGAGAGCCTGACAAGTGGAATGGGCTGCTGGCTACCCAAAACAATGGTCACTCTCCTCCTCCTCCTCCTCCTCCTCCTCCGGGGAGCTCGTTTTCTAATCGTTTCGAGAGAGAAAGGGAGAAGAGACGCAGAGACGACTAATTTGTCTGTCCTACTCGTCTTCTGACCACCAAATGGACATTGTGAAAACGAAACTCATTAAAAATTCATGGAACAACCAAGAGACGGAGACCAAGTGGAACGACGAGATGGAATGGATTCTGGAGCCAAGAATCCCAATTTTTGAGCTTCAAACTGGGTTTAAAGCTATAAACAAGCTAGAAGAGTTTGAGCCAAAAAAAAAAGCGTCCGAAACTCAATTCTGAGCTCAAAATCCTCGAAAAATGCACTTCAAGGCTGCTCTGAACTGAGAGGAGGAAGAAATAGAAACCGTGTTTGATTCGGAGCAAACAGTGTGTGTGTGTGTGTCATCCGGAAGAGCCCTACCTCCCAACAATCCACTCAGAGCATACAAACAGCACACACAAATGAGCACTTCCCTCTGTTTGTGTGTCTATTTTTTGGATGACGAGTGTTTTTGGGTGAAAAATGAGCCCAAAAATCGAATTTTCAGGTCAATTTGAGCTTGGGAAACTCCTTTTTGCGGTCAAAAATGGTCCATAAAACCGATTTCTGGTGCTAAAATAGCTAAAAAAGGGAATTTTCAGGTTATTTTAGGCCCAGAACCTCATATTTAGGGTCTAAATGAGCCAAAAATGGTCCATAAATCCGATTTCCAGACTATAAATCCCTGGAAAAATGGAATTTTCTGGTCAATTCAAGCCTAGAAACTCATTTTTTGGGCTCATTTTTTGAAAAATTTCACAGTTTTGAGCCCAAAAAAATGACGAAATGACCAATACCCCCTCTGCGCGGCTCCCGTCTCTGCGTCTCTCGTTTCCCTATACTCTCTCACCTTTGACTCATTTCGGAGCCCGAATTTCGCAAGTTTTTGGGATTCTAAGAAAAACAATTTTTTGAAGAGCATGGGATTTCAATATGAGTCATTAGAAACACAAAAAATCCATTTTTTGTTTTTTCAAAAAATAATTTTTTTCAAAATTTGAAAAATTTTAGGACAAAAATCAGCAGATTTGAGCAGCAAAACCGATTTTTCTGCTTATTTTTCAGATTTTTATAGCCAAAATCTCGAATTTCAGCCCTAAAATCCAATTTTCCGACCCAAAATCGCTGAAAATTTCAATTTTCAAAGTCAAACAATCATGAGAATTCCAATAAAAATCAAACAATCTCAATACAAAAATCATGGGGGAAGCGGGAAAGTGAAAAAATAAACAATTCCGCAGCTTATATCAAGAGAGCCGAATAATCAGTTTATTTGAGTAGCTTGACCGCCCCGGAAAGTCATGAAAACGCATTTTTCGGGGGTAAAATAGGTTGAAAATTCGTTTAAAATGCTTGAAAATGATGAAAAATTAAAAAAAATCCGAGAAAATCGGGCAAAAATGAGCAAAAATGTTGAAAAATGATGAAAAATAAGTTGAAAAATAAAGCTTGGCGCCAAAAAGTGTTTGCGGACTCCGCCGACGCCATAATGCACAACTTTTTTCTACAGTAGCCCGCATGCCATTTTATCGATTTTTGACCTGAAAATGGCTATTTTTTGCTATTTAATTTCATTGAAAAAAATAACTGAAAATCGTTCAAAAAATTTTTATTAAATGTAATTTTTCGAAAGAAAAATCAAAAAATCGATATATTTTATACAATGAGAGGGGAAAAAGACTAGAAAAATCGATTAAAATTTTACAGAGGAAAAATAGAGAAAAATCGATAAAAATCAACCCGAAAGAGATCAAAAAAGTAGGAGAAACAGGAGAATCGAGAAAATTGAAAAAAAAGGCGGGAAATTTGAATTTTTAGGACTTTTCCGGCGCTGAAACTTCCCAAATGACCACCGGGATGTCTGGCTTCAGTCGAGGAATCGCGTAGCGCTCTTTTCCCTGAAAATCCATAAGAAATTTAGCGGAAATTTGAATTTTTTCGAAAAAACTCAAAAAAAAAATTGTTTTTTCAAAAATTTTCAAATTTGCGCGTCAATTCTGGTGTTTGCACAGAATTCGCAAAAATCGATTTTTCGCTCACTTTTGGCCTCAAATTCTTCATCAGCCGACATAATCTGCGTTTTTCTCCATCGCTCATCGTCTCCTGATAGAATTCATTCGCCACGTCACCGTCCTCATCGATGTATTGGGAGCTGGAAACTTTCAGAATTCTAAAATTCAAATTTGGCGCCAAACCTTTTTGCCTCATGAACTAGAAAATATTCGGGTAAAATGCCACGTGTCTTCAGCACCTCTGCGTACTTGGCGATCATCTCGTCGGGACGGGCGGCGCGTTTTACCTGGAGAAATTGACATTTTCAGGCTTTAAAACCTCAAAATTCGCTTTAAAATCGTATTTTTCACCCTAGAAATCGCTTTTGGGCTACTGTAGCTCGGTTTCTGTGCAAACACCAAACAATGCCTCGGATCTTACGACAAAGTGCAGAAAAATCGATTTTTCAAATTTCTGGAGTGAAAAATTCGGTTTTAAGCGATTTTTGGAGGTTCTACAATTGAAAAAATCGATTTTTTCAGAAAAAAACTATTTTTTGAAGAATTTTGTCGAGATATTTCAATTTTCCGCTGAAAATCCGCGATTTTCAGCTTTAAAACTTCAAAAATCGGCTTAAAACCCTATTTTTCACCCTAGAAATGTTTTTTGGTTACTGTAGCTCGAGTTCTGTGCAAACACCGAACAATGTCTGGGATCTTACGACAATATGCACAAAAATCGATTTTCAAGAAAAAAAAAGGGTTTCTAGGGTGAAAAAATGGGTTTTAAGCGATTTTTCGAGGTTTTAAAGCTGAAAAACTCACCCTTCCCACTGTCTGTTGCTCAGCACTATTCTTCATCGACGCAGTTGGCTCTTCCTTCCTCTTACTGCCTGACAAGCCCATTTTCAGCCAGAATTTCGCTGAAAATGTGAAAATCGAAACTTTATGTCATATATAGCGAAAAAACCGGAAAACTACGACACGAGGCGGGCGGAATTAATATGCAAATCTCTACGAACAAAAATAATAATAGAGGAACTGGAAATTTTGAATTTTTCGGTCTGAAATTGATTTCTTGGGGGTCTGAGACTATGAAAATCGTAATTTTCAGTCATTTTTGGTCTAGAAAAGCTGAAAATTTGGTTGAAATTGAGCAATTTTAGGGTGGTGGCCTAGAAATTCAAATTTTTGGAAAAACTCGACCATATATAATTTTTAGCCGATTTTTAAGCATTTTTATTGTCAAATTCGTGATTTTCAGCCGTTTTTAGCCTAGAAACCCTGAAAATTTAGCTGAAAATCAGGATTTTTAAAGTGGTGGCCTAGAAATCCAAATTTCCGAAAAACTCGGCCATATATGATTTTTGGCTGGTTTTTTAACATTCTGAATGTCAAAATCGTCATTTTCAGCTGTTTTCAGCCTAGAAACTCGGAAAGATTGACCGAAAATCCGCATTTTTAAGGTGGTGGCCTGGAAATCCAAATTTTTGGAAAAACTCGGCCATGGATAATTTTTGGCTGAATTTCAAGCATTTTTAGTGTCAAAATCGTAATTTTCAGCCGTTTTTAGCCTATAAACCCTAAACAATGAGCTGAAAACCAGGATTTTCAAAGTGGTGGCCTAGAAATCCAAATTTCCGAAAAACTCGGCCATATATGAATTTTGGCTGATTTTCAAGATTTATGAATGTCAAAATCCTGATTTACAGCGATTCTTAGCTTGGAAACGTTTTGAAAATCGAAATAAAAGTAATTTTTCAAAAAACTTGGTTTTCTAGGCCACCAAAGTCAAAATTTCAGGAACATTGCTCAGATTAATATTTTAAGGATGTTTTAAAGATAAAATTGTCTGAAAATCACGATTTTGACTTTTAGAAATCTCGAAAATTTCGGAAAAATCATTTTTGACCGAGCTTTTTGAGGAATTTGGTTTTCTAGGCCACCAAGGTCTAAAATTGAGTTTTAGTTGAATTTTAGGTGGGATTTTGCGAAATTTTAGGTTTTTTAGAGTTAGAAAAAATTTTAAGAAGCTAAAAAATACTTAAAATTTGAAAATTTGAAAAAAAATTGGGTCAAAAATTTTTCAAAAAATTAAAAAAAAATATTTTTTGGGAAAAATATTTTTCTTGTATTTTTCTAGAAAAATAAGACACTTGAAAACATTTATGGCGTAATTTTTTTGGTTTAAAAACAATAGAAAAAATAAAATTTTTTTTCTTTTTCTTCTTCGCAAAATTATATATTTTTGGGGGGGAAACCCGTTTGAAGGCTGTCTAAAAAAAGGGGGTTGATTTTGAAAAATTGGTCGAAAAAGAAGGGAAAAAATTGATAAGATTGATAAAAGAACGATACCAACTGACGTCATTTTGACCTAATTCGAGGCACTTTTTGGGCCCAAAATTATCGATTTTTCACTCTAAAACCACTCTTGATCATTCTAAAAGCCCAGAATGCCCCTAGAAACCCCGAAATCCGGTGGAAAATGCGCGAAAAATGAGCGAAAAGAAGCGACGAGAGAGTGTGGGCGCTTGAAGAGACGCAGAGATGGGAGAGAAAGGGGGCGGCGAGAGTGTGCGCCGCGCGTGGAGGGTGTTAGAGAAACACGGCGCGGAGAAGAAGAAGCACGAGGCTCCTCTGGGAAGACGTCTATGTATGGAAATCGATAGTTTGGACTTTGGGAATTATGAAAAATTAGATGTGGCCGAGAAATTATGGCCTAGAAAAATCCAAAGTTAGGCCATATATAGTGAAAAGGCCTAAAATGGAGAAGATAAATAATTTTTTAGACTTTCAAACGAAAAATCCGCGATTTTCAGTTTTAAAACCTCGAAAATCGGCTTGGAACCCTATTTTTCACACTAGAAATCGCTTTTGGGCTACTGTAGCTTGGATTCTGTGCAAACACCGAACAAAGTCTGGGATCTTACGACAAAGTGCAGAAAAATCGACTTTCGACGCAAAAAATTGGTTTCTGGGGTGAAAAATTGAGTTTCAAACGATTTTTGAAAACTTTAATCCCCAAAAATTCAATTTTCCACCGAATTTTAGACTTTTTCATCTTAAAATAATTTTTGATAATTTATATTTTTTCACATTTATCACAATTTACTGATTTTGAATCCTCGAAAATCGGCTTAAAACCGTTTTTTCACCCTAGAAATCGCTTTTGGACTACTGTAGCTCGGATTCTGTGCAAACACCAAACAATGCCTCGGATCTTACGACAAAGTGTAGAAAAATCGACTTTCGACGCAAAAAATTGGTTTCCAGGGTGAAAAATTAGGTTTTAAATCATTTTTTGAGGCCTGGACGACGGAGAAACTCGCTTTTTAGCAGAAAAATCGAATTTCGCAAAAAATAATTTTTTTAAACTGAAAATTCCAAACAAAAAAAACATAGAAATAATCAGGAAATCGCTCAGAATCGATAAAATTTGAAATCAGTAAGTCACACGCTTCAAAATGAGCCCAAATACGACTAGGCTCCGCCCACTTGGAAATTCCCGGGCTGCACGCGACGCACGACCGCGACGCGTCTGAAAAACTCAAAGTGAGCGGAGCCTAGTCGTGTGGGGGCTCATTTTGAAGCTCTCGGTGAGGCGAATTTGATGGTTTTAATTTTTCCGAGTTCTGTCGGTTATTGAAAAAGTTACGGTAGTTTCAATTTTAGGGTTTTTTTATTCGTCATTCGATTTTAGCTCATTTTTCAGCTAAGTTTTGTGGGCATGGTCCTCATTGTGACAAATTCTGTAACGAAGACCACGCAACACTCATCAATCGTCGTTGTACCCACCATGGTACCCTCGGCTGCCCCTATGGCTTTCGTGGTACCAATTGTGATATTCCCATGGACCAAGCCTTGGACCAATGTCCGTGTGAAAACCATGGATTCTGTGTATCGGAATTCCAGACTCCACTAGATACTGTAGATCGATCTATTTGTCAATGTAGCATTGGAGAAGAAGGAGATTATTGTGAAAAGAGAGAGTACGGTTATGCGGATGCAATCCAAATTGAAATGCATGGAACAAGTGAAAAATTCAATTTGTTGAAGCAGTCTCTCAATGGGACTACTGTAAGAAACGAGTTGATTGGTTCTGGAAAAAATCCGGATTCACCTTTCAGTTCATTTTATGAAATATGATATTATACTTGACAAATCATTTGTCTTCATCTACTCATTTATCTGTCGTCATCTTCTTTTTTCCAAATAAATCTTCGTTCGATTCTATTCTCAACCATAAAAAGACAGCCTTCTTTATCTAGCCGAAAAATCTACACAGAGACGTTCCAAATTGACCGAATACATGTAGTCTGAGTCATTTTGCAACACGATTTGCCAATGAAATCCCTATTTTCACCATTTTACTCACATTTTCAAAGCTTTTAACCCCGATATTCAAATTCCCCGCCCCCGAAAACCCCCGAGAAACACTTTTAAAAAGAAGTTGCCACCGGTGGGATTCGAACCCGAGACACCTAGATCCAATTTATCTCACTTCCTTCAAAAGATATTAAAATATTGTCAACTGATAAAATGTTCATCATAATATCAGCTACATTTTATCAGTTAACTAATTTTTGCTATCTTTTTGAGTTTGGAAAGTCATGTGGGGAATTATTACAGTAGTGAAAAGTGACGTAATCCGGTGGAAACAGGTCCAAAAAGAGTGTTTTGTCTAGCTTTATTATTTTCAAACAGTTTCTATTGAATTTCTGACCGTTTTGAGTTATTTTTCAGCCAATTTAAGCTAATTTAGCAATTTGCCAGAATAAAATCCCTAGTTTCTTCTATTTAACTACATTTTTGAACATTCTAATCCCGATTTTCGAACTCCTCGCCCTTGAAAACCCCAAAAAAAAACACTTTAAAAAAGAAGTTGCCACCGGTGGGTGTCGAACCCGAGACCCCTAGATCCAAGTTCGTCGAAAATCCCACTAGGCCATAAGTGCAATTTTCCGAAAGCTTGCTAGAAAATTGGTTTTTGGATCAAAAATTGGGTTTTAAAGGGATTTTTGGGCTTAAAATTGATTTTGAGAAAGTTTTTAAAGCTAAAAATTGCTAAAAATTGGTTAAAAATTGTGTTTGAATGCTTAGCAACCTGTTCCCGCTCTTTTGAAGCACAGAACTTGATTCGAACCACTAAATTCAATCAAGTCTTTTTTATTTGCTTATCAGATATCAACAACACAGCCATTGAGAATCTTCGTTTCTTTCCAACAAAACATTTCTTTTATCGGTTGGCTAGTGCAAGTTTTGGCACCTTTTTTTAAAACGTCATATCTCATCAAAATGAAATTCAGCCTAAAACTTGTTAACTACAAAATTAAAGCCCTTGATTTGTTTGGTATATTCTGAAATTTTCGGAAAAATCAACAAATTCTAAACTATTGTTCCAGAAGTTCAAAGAAAATTTTTCCGATTTTTCACTGCAAGAGGTCAAAATCTTCCTCTTTTTTCATCATTTTTTGTGTAGGTGATAACACTATGATATGTATTATTTCCCAAAAAAAAACCCTCAGAAAGACCCTTTAACAATAAATAAATCAAAAAAAAATTGGCCCTCAGCTGTCCACAGCACCTGTTCTATACTGTTTACATTGCTTCTTATGATGGCTGTCACTTCTGTTTCTTTCTCTGCGCCTCTATTGTTTCGTACACTATTTTCATTGTCTATTTCCTTCTTAGAATCAGACAGATATTCTTGTTCCTGAAAAACCATTCTAAACCTAAATTTTGACCCTTAAATCAATTTTCTAGCGAATTTTCGAAAAATAGCTCATATGGCCTAGTGGGATTTTCGACGGAAGAATTTGGATCTAGGGGTCTCGGGTTCGAATCCCACCGGTGGCAACTTCTTTTTTAAAAGTGTTTTTTGGAGGTTTTCGAGTGCGTTTCACTGGCGAAATTATGGAATTTTACAAAGTTTTCAAAATATCAAACGTTGATTTACCGTTAACACTCTGATAGACCCTCCCCCCCCCCTTACTTTAGGCCTATATATCTCATTTTCCGTAAGAGATATCAAAAACTGGTCAACTGATAAAATATTTATCATTATATCATCTACATTTTTCTAGTTGACAACTTTTTGATATCTTTTATTAAAACCGAGATAAATTAGCTCAAAGTTAGCGGTCATTCGTGCCATGAGAGGATTTACAATATTTAGAACTATTTTTGACTCTGTCATGCAATTTTCGAGTAAATTTAGGACAAAAATCGTCGATTTCCATCTGTCAATTACTCATCTTAATGATATCTGTCCTTAACATCGTCGTCATCTTTTCTTCTTTTTCTTTTTTCTCTAATCCTCTTCTCTCTCTTCGGAAGACGTCGCGGTCTTCTGAAGACTAGAGACACGACACGCTTCGTTATCAAAACATGACGATATTGACAAGAGGTTCTCTTCCTTTCAATCGTTTTCCTCTCTTTTTCTGATGCTTATTCCTCAGAATTTCTGAATATCTGAATTTCTGAATTTCTGAATTTCTGAATTTCTGAATTTCTGAATTTCTGAATTTCTGAATTTCTGAATTTCTGAATTTCTGAATTTTTGAATTTTTGAATTTCTGAATTTCTGAATTTCTGAATTTCTGAATTTCTGAATTTCTGAATTTCTGAATTTCTGAATTTCTGAATTTCTGAATTTCTGAATTTCTGAATTTCTGAATTTCTGAATTTCTGAATTTCTGAATTTCTGAATTTCTGAATTTCTGAATTTCTGAATTTCTGAATTTCTGAATTTCTGAATTTCTGAATTTCTGAATTTCTGAATTTCTGAATTTTTGAATTTCTGAATTTCTACTTTTTTGACTGCTGCCTTGAAATCCTTTTTTTCCTTTTTTGAAATAAAAGAAAAAGGTCAAAAAGATAATCTTTTTCACCTTTTTCAGGTTTGTTTTTAGTTATAAATCTACTTTTTTTCGATTTTTTGATTTTTTGGAATTCTGAAATTTTTAAAATTTTATTTTATTTAATCGTATGTTTTAAAGTTTCTCAAAACTTTTCAATATATCATTTTCACAAATTTATGGATTTTTGAACTATTAAAAAGTTATAACATTGAACATTAAACATTTAGAATGTGTCAAAAACCTTTTAAACACTCTAATAGAACGCCACCGGGACCGTCCACTTTGAGCCTATATATCTCATTTTCTGTGAGAGATATCAAAAAGTGTTCAACTGATAAAATGATTATCATGATATCAGAAACATTTTATTTGTTTACAACTTTTTGATATCTCTCACAGAAAACGTGATACATGGGCTCAAATTTGACGATGATTCGGGTGGCGTTCTAATAGAGTGTTTACGGTAATTTCAAAAGTTTATTTTTTTATATTAAAAAAATTCTGACTCAGAATTTTCAGAAATTTTCAGTTTTTTCCCACCCCTATATTCACATTCATTAGCTCAATTTGACTGGAAAAAAGAAAACAAAGGAGCACAAATCATGAGGCCAGACAGAGAAGAATGTGTTGTTTATAACCGAAAAATTTGACACCAAAAGAAAAAAAAAGGAATAAAAAATAAGAGAAAATAGATATATAAACAGAGAAGGAAGCCAGACGGGTTCCTTCTTTCAAGTTAATTTTGCGATTTTCAAAGCCATTCATTCTAAAATCCCCCATTTTTAACCCTTTCAACTTCATTTTCAAGCTCTCTAACCCTGATTTTCGAATTGCATGACAGAGTCAAAAATAGTTCTAAATATTGTAAATCCTCTCATGGCACGAATGACCGCTAACTTTGAGCTAATTTATCTCGGTTTTAATAAAAGATATCAAAAAGTTGTCAACTAGAAAAATGTAGATGATATAATGATAAATATTTTATCAGTTGACCAGTTTTTGATATCTCTTACGGAAAATGAGATATATAGGCCTAAAGTAAGGGGGGGGGGGGAGGGTCTATCAGAGTGTTAACGGTAAATCAACGTTTGATATTTTGAAAACTTTGTAAAATTCCATAATTTCGCCAGTGAAACGCACTCGAAAACCTCCAAAAAACACTTTTAAAAAAGAAGTTGCCACCGGTGGGATTCGAACCCGAGACCCCTAGATCCAAATTCTTTCGTCGAAAATCCCACTAGGCCACATGAGCAATTTTTCGAAAATTCGCTAGAAAATTGATTTAAGGGTCAAAATTTAGGTTTAGAATGGTTTTTCATGTTAAAAATTGTGTTAAAATCTCTGAAAACTTGAGATTTCTTGAATAAAAAAAAAAAAATTTTCTCCTTTCTTCACCTGTTTAGACCAAATGAAAATGTTTAAAAAATCTTTCTTATCAGCAAAAAAAGATAGCAAAAGTCACAAAATGCTCAATTTCTCTGTTTTCTCTGCTCATTTTTTTTCAAAATAATTTTCGAAAATTAAAAAAAAAATCCTAAATTTGAAAAATTGAGTCTTTAAATTTCCAGTTAATTTTTTTCCAATCAAAGATTCTTAATTTTCAATTTCAGTTCTTTTTTCAGTATCATCACAATTTCTATAATTCCTAAATCATATCAAATATCAAATAATGCAAAATAATTGCCAAAATAAACAAATCAGCCATATTAAAATGAAAATTGTTGATAAGGAATAGCGTAGAGCATCATAGTGTTGTTATTACTATTATTATGCTCTTTTTGTTAAATGACTCCTTGAAACCAGAAATTGAAAAATGTTTAGTGAAAAATCCATTTTTTGGCTAATTTAGTTTAATTAAATTTTTAAAAAATTTGAAATTCAAAAATTAATTAACTAGTTTTCATAGAAATTATAATTAAAACCTTTGAAAATGTATACATTTTGGTTCTTAACTTTGTATGATTTTTCCCAGAAGCCAGCTATTGAGCTCAATTATTTTGGTTCCCATTAGAGATATCAAAATGTGGTTAACTGATAAAATACTTATATATATCATATTATCAGCTACATTTTGTCAGTTGACCACTTTTTGATGTCTGTTACAGTAACCAAGATAAAGAGGGTCGAACTTGTTGCACTCTAAGCCCAATTATCTCGGTTATCAAAAGAGATATCAAGAAGTAGCTAACTAATAAAATGTTTATCATATTATCAGGTACATTTTGTTGGTTTACAATTGTTTGATATCTCGTACAAGAACTGAGGAAATCAAGCTCAAACTTGATG